GTTTGTTTTTGTTGGCATCTAATAGGAATATTCTGTGATTATATTTCATTGCTAACGGTTAAAGAAATTCCGAAACAAACGGTTATTTACATTTAATTTAATTTTCTATTATCGTAATACAAATATTTATTCATGAAATATTTTTTTGAAATAAATAAATAAGGTAAGATTTCGAAAGATGTCAAACAAACCTGTTCCTATGTTTTCGATCAGGCCACCTACTGATTCCCATTTATTATTTTTACAAAGATTTACATGGCTATTGGATAACTCATAAATTTATTAAAAATTTAGAAATCAGTTTAGATTTGTATTTACAGCGAAAGATGTCAGGGTATATGGCTGTTTGAACAAGTAACTGTGACAAAGTGGAAGTGGGAAAATGTTGGGAAGTACAAAAGTATTTTGGAAAGAGACTTAAATGTAGAAACACACAATTACACTTGTTTTTGAATTTTATTTTACATTAACCAAATTGTTTTTTAACATTAATGAGGAATAAACAAAAATAGATTAAATAGTACTACCTTAAACAAAAATAAATTTGTATAGAACTATAAATAAAATTTAACAACATACATTTACAAAGTTTTTTTTTTGGACAACTCTTGATTTTATTAACTAAAATTCGGGGACGCATACAAGAGAAGGAAAAACACCTTCTTTGATAGCTATAATACAACAAACTAAAATAGAGAAAGCATATAGTTTTTCAAAGAACATCGACAACGAATTTGAGACAAGACTCGAATGCATCGGTAAAAACTCCATGACATTGCCGGAATGTTGAAACTTATTCACTTTAAGATGTGATGCTGAATGCCAACCCTCGTCTCCGGATATCGTCAAAACAAAAGCGGTTGCTTCTTCTGACTTGTGAAGACTGCTACACAAGAAGACAAAGCGAAGAGTTTGTTGAGAATTATCTTTGGTATTGCGACCGAGCAAAAATCACTTTTCATATAAATGAGACATGATGAAAAGTTCTAGGAAGGTGAAAATGATCGCTTCCGGGAGAAAAAGAGGGTAAAAAAGATTTTTCCATGCTTGATATGGAGTATGTTTGAATAGAAGTCATATGTCTCCACGTATTGAGCAAAGATAGGCACACAAAGGATACACAAGAGCCCAATTTCATCTACACACCTTGATGGGTGAATGAGTAAACGTGGGACAGAAAACGCTGGATGTGCTTTATCGCCGAACATGACGGCAAAGCTATTCGAGAGAGAGTCGAGGGAAATTTGGTGGCTAAGGGGGACTGGCTTTAAATCCAGGTTTTTTTTTTGAGCCCATGAATTGACGATGATGGCCCATGAGTATTTTTTTCCAGAGATTTGCAGATCGTGAAGATAGAGGCTACGATGGAGACGATGAAAGAAGAGCCAGCGCAAGGGAATTCAGCAGACAGTGCTGCAGCCGCCGGAGGTACGACACAATCTATGATGGTAAAAGCTATAGACAGTGGAGATGGTAGATCTAAGGATTTTTTTCGCCGAGAAGTTGTGAAGGTTTTGATGGAGGTGGTGACCAGAATTGGATAAGAAGGTAGACGATCAAAAAAATCTGTCAGGTTTGGAGGGTCTAAAGCTTCGATCTAGATTTTACTGGCGGTGCCGGCTCTGGCCATGACGAGAGATAACACAACATGTCTTGTGGTTTCGAACATAATGAGACCACCGAGAGAAATATTTTCTTCATCGATGACAAGATGCTTGCAGAAAGTTTTTCATCGTGCGTGAGAATGAATGTTGAAAAAAATTTACGCCGAAAAAGATTTTTCACGTGAGAGTCTTCCAAATAATTTGTTTTTTTTATTGTAATATTTCAAGAAAACTACTAATTTACGTTCAATTGTATTGTTCGTGAAGTGTTTAATTATATAGAAAACAAATTATGTAAGATTACATAATTGGAAAAAGCTTTACTGGTTGGTTGAAAAGAAATTGATACTTTATTCATTCCTCGGTCATTGAATTTGGAACTTGGCAAATTGTGTTTTGTATTTGTGTTTGTAGACCAGAAGGCTAAAAATAAAAGCTAGTCACATTTATTTGTATCCCATTATAACAATCTTATCAAAGTCTCTTTTTCTATCTAGACCTCTACTTTCAGAAATAACAGAGATTTTGTTGCATCGATACTAGATGCTATTATATCGCATGCAAAGAAAAATTCAAATTGCTGGAAAAATCTTTACTTAGAAAATTCAAAATCAAACG